GGAGGTTGGTTAGAGAGTTACCTTTCTAGGTTTTGTGTTTTGCTTTGGGGTAGAAAAAGGAGACAGGAGAATGAGAGAAGGTCAGAGAGGGCTTCTGCTTCTGAGGCCGTTGTGCTTTTCTGCTGATGAGTGCTCACATGCCAGTGCACTAGACTTTGGGGTGTCATGTTCTAAGTACCAACATGGTGTTATATCTAAAAAAGTTTTGTCTAACCCAGGGTCACACAGCTGTTTTCCTTTGTTTTCTTCTAGATATTTTATGTTTTAAGTTTTGTATTTTGGTCTCTGGCCTGTTTTGAACGAATTTTTGTTATATGTCACAACTTACAGATCCAAGTTTGGTTTTGCCTATGGATTTCCAGGTATTTCAGCACCATTTGTTGAAAAGGCTAAACTTTGTCTAAAGTCATTTGTCCATAAGCGTGTGGGCGTTATTCCTGGTCTTTTCACGTGTTTGTCCGTCTCGATACCAGTACCATATTGTTCTTGAAATCAGGCAGTCTCAGCCCTCTGGTTTTGTCTTTTTTAGAACTATTTGGCTGGTCTAGGTCCTTTGCATTGCCATAGAGATTTTACAATTAGCTTGTTGATTTTTACAAAAAAATTTTCTTGGCTTTTGATTGAGATTATATAACATGTATAGATTGGCTGGGGAAAGAACTGACATCCTAACAATAGTGAGTCTTCTGCCTTATAAACAAAGTAAATATCCTCATTTAGTTAAATCTTCTTTAACTTTTCTTAGCAATATATTATAGTTCTCACTGTTCAGATCTTGCTAACCTTGTGTCAGATTTACCCCTAATTATTTCATATTTTTCATGCTATTGTCAATGGTGTTTTTTCAATTTCAGTTTTTCACTACTATTATGTAGAAACAGTATTGACTTCTGTATGTTGATCTTCTGTCCCACAGCCTCGTTAACTCACTTCCTAATTCTAGGACTTAAAAAAAAACTCCATTAAGTAGTCTATGTAGTCAATGAATTAAGTCAGCTTTACTTTTTCTCCTTTATCATTATGGAATAACTTACTTTATCTCTGGTAAATGTTTGCTTTGAAATCTACTTTACCTGATTTAATATAGCTACTCCAGCTTTCAAATTTTAACTAATGTTAATATGGTATGAAAGAAAAATTTTAAAATTTTGTTAAAAGAGTTTATGCTTCCCTGTTTTTCATACTTTCTTGGCAAGTAGATTCCTGAGGCCAGTTTTTGAGTTCTACTCTTTATAGATCTAGATTCTAGAAATATAAAAAACTCCATTTAAAAAAAATTTGCCATGTTGGGGACTGAACCCAGGGCTTTGCATATGCTAGTCAAGTACTCTGCCACTGAGTTAGCTCCCCAGCAAGAAGCTCCTTTTTAATATGAAAGTAGACAACCAGAAAACTCACATAATTAGTATGTTTTCCTACTAACACTCAGCATTTGTCAGAAACAAATAAAAAATAGTTGATTACATGGATCTTAATTCCCTCCTTCTCTTCTTGCCACTTGTGAGTTGGGCAAATGATGAGACTTATCTAGTGTGCCATGTCTATCTACCATATTAGATATGATTGAAATTGCTGCAAAATCTGGAAATACTTCCAGCATATTCATTCATAGTATATCACCTCTTTTTCTTCCTCTTCTTTCCCACCTTCCCTTCTTCTTCCTTTTTGCTTTCTGCCGTCCTTCCCATATTGGCTGTCTTGAACACTCTCTTTGCTCTAGCCTCATTCACTAACTTTCTGTTCCTTAAGCATGCCTTGTTCCTTCTTTGCACATGTTCATCTCTCTTCTAGAAGCATTCTTTTCTCCCATTCCCCCTGACTAGCTCCTCTTTATTCACAGGGTCTCAGTTTAGATTTTCATTCATCTGGGAGTCATTCCTTGACATTCTAGGCTATGCTCAGTGTTCTCCTTCATGCTCTTGGAGCACCTATGCTTAAGATTGTGTGGCATTATCAGACCATATACCTCCGACTGTCAGTTTCATGAGGAAAAAGTCCTTGCTTATCTTGTTTATAGCTAGATCTTCTGAGCCTTGTGCAGTATCAGGCACACAGTAGTACTCAGTAAATATTTGTTGCATGGATATCTAAGTAAATATTCATAAACATTTCCCTGTATTATTAAAAACTTTATAAGCATCATTTTAAATAGAAATGAAGAACTTAATCATATACTATGTAATAAGATACGTATTTTGGGAGCTAGAGGTGTGGCTCAAGTGGTAGAACACTTGTCTAGCATGTGCAAGGCTTTGATTTCAAAACCAGTCCCGAAAAAAAAAAAAAGAAATCTTCATCTGTGTCTTCTCTGAGACACAGAGTTTCTAATTCCCTTGATATTTTCTGTGTGATGAGGGTGATAGGAACATCTTTTGTTACAGTATTTGTCTTTGTACCAAGTTCCTAAAACCCTCTGAAATTCCAGAGTTATGGGAGTATCTCCTCTTGTTTATAACAAGCCCTTTCCATCACACCTGAGTTTATGGTAAAGCCTTGACATAGGGTGGGACCCGTAGATAGCCTCAACATGGGGCTAGTCATCAGAAAGATCAAATGATTAGAGGATTAAAGAGTTGTGACTCTCAGCCCCATCTACCAGCCTCCAGGAAAAAGGTGGGAGATTAGAGATAAAGCTCTATACACACCTTTGCACAGGAGATTTGGTGAGCTTCCTAGTCTGTGGCTACTGGGGAGTATTCACTGCTGGGAGGGCAGTGCACAGAGCTGCTGTGTTTGGAATCCTTCCAGACTCACCCTATGTACCTCTTCTGTGTCTTCTGTGTAAAGCGTCAACTGCAAGTGTTTCCTGAATTCTGTGAGCCATCCTAGCAAATTAATTAGGCAGTTGTGGGAACCCAGGTTTATAGTTACTATCTCTGAAGAGATAGTGTCAGAATTGAATTAAATTATGGGACACCCAACTGGTGTCCACTGGAGAATTACTTTATGTGTGGGGAAACCACCTCCCCCATACATGTGGTCATAGAAGTATACTCTTGAGTGTGTTGAGCAGAGAAGAAAAAGAATTTGTTTATTCTTTCTTACATGTGGGTAAGTGACAATTTATATGACAGTTCCTCAGTTATTTCACCTTTAGATTATCTAGTTTTTCACCATTGTAACAATGTGATGAACCGATTCCTTTGTATATAAAAGCATGTTTCCCCAAAACTTCTTACACAAAAGGTTGTGCTGCTTTAAACTTTTACCAGTATCTTATGGAGGTATATCTCTCCATAGTGTCCTCAGCTTTGAATTTTCCCATTTTTAAACATCCTTACCAATTTGATGAGTTAAGTATTATATATTTCTATTTGACTTGATCATTGGTGAGGTGTAGTGTTTTCTCAAATAGCTGTAAACTGTGTGGATTTATTCTTTGTGAAGGCAACTAGCAATATTTCCCCACCCATGCATATATAAGACCAGTTTGAATTCACCCCCAAACAGTACCTGTTTGACATTCCTGACATTCATTTTATTTTTTTTGGTGGGATTAGAGTTTGAACTCAGGGCTTTGTGCTTGTTAAGCAGGTATTCTGCCTTGAACCATACCTCTAGTCCGTTTTGCTGTGGTTATTTTAGAGATGGGATCTTGCAAACTTATTTGCCCAGGCTGGCCTTGAATCGAATCTCCATTCTCCTGATCCCAGCCTCCCAAGTAACAAGTAACAAGGATTACAAGTGAGCCACCACCAGCACCTGGCCATGTTACTCATTTCTGCGTATGAAAGAGAACATGCAATATTTGACTTCCTCAGTCTGAGTTATTTCACTTAACATGATGAGATCATCAGGAGGGGCATGGGCAAAAGGGAAGTGGGTATAAATATGGTTGAAGTGTTCTATACACATATATGAAAACAGAACAATGAAACCTATTGAGTTTGTTCCAAGAATGGGAGAGGAGGGAGGAAGGGGAGTGATGGAGAGGATGGGTTCGATGGGGGGTATATTGTGTGCATTTATGAAAATATCATAATGAAACAACAAATACATGCTAATTAAAAAAAAAAGACAGTTTGGGTTCAAGTGGTAGAGCTTCTGCCTAGCAAGCACAAAGATGTGAGTTTAAACCCCAGTACCACCAAAATAAATAAATAAATAAATAAAAAAGGCCAGTTTGAATATGTTCCATCTTTAATATTCATTAAATGTTTAGGCATTTTGTAAGGCAGATAGAAGTTGATTGCCACAAAGTTTGGGGCTTGTTTAGGAAACTCACAGGTACTCAGGAATTAGAAGTGGCTATGGTGTGGGTGGAAGATTAGACACTTGGTAGACTTGTGAGTTCTGTCTTGGACAGTGATCCAGTCTGTCCTGACAGAGAATTTTTAAGACTGTCTCATATAGCTGGTTTGATAGAAGGACAAGAGTAAAGAGACATGGGTTATAATTCTGACTCTGGAATTAGCCTACTTTGTGACTGTTCACAGATATTTAACCTTTCTGTTTCTTAAATATTTAAATTATCAACTTCCTTTCCGCTCCAAAAATGTTTCATTTAATTATTCGGGGACAGAAGGTTATTCTTATGAATCCAGAGCTTTTCTTGTGAATAGCTGTAAATAGGTCTGGAAAACAATCCAATGCTTGTTGAGAGGTACTTGTGGAAAATAGTAGAAAAATTCCCCTAGGTAGATTTTGTAGGGAAAGTAAATTCCCAAGTCCTAAGTTATTTTGTTTGTATACATTAAAAATGGTAAAGTTAGTTATTTTTATGCCTTTTTCCCTGGGCTGGTGAATTACAATATTCAGTTTTTTGCCTTCAGTAATGCCAGAAAAGACAAGCTGAGTAAGTTTAAAGAGCTCAGGGAATTTTATAAGCCTGAGTATGGTCCAAATACAGAAATTACTAGGGGGAACACTAGCTGCAAACCCATTTCGTGCTTTAGGAGAAGGGCGTGCTTTAGTTAGCAGTCAGATGAGACGCGAGCCCTCCCCTGCATGGGAAAGCGGCTGGGCTCTCTAACCTGCTCTGTCTGTGCTCGATTTGTCAGGTCTAGCTCAGTGCGCCGAGCTCTGCTGGCAGCTGAGAGGGGAGGCCGGAAAGAGGCAAGTTCCTAGTGCAAAGGTTGCTCTGCAGCACAACTTAGGCCTCGGAGGAGCTGTGGTTGTCACAATCTACAAGATGGGGTTTCCTGAAGCTGCCAGGTAAGTGACATTCCGGCCTTTGTCCCTTCATCCTTCTGACTTTTCACAGTTGTCGCTTTCTGAATACTAATTTTTAGTATTCAAGGAAAAGTATCTCATTACGTTGCTGTGATAACATGGCTTTAAAACAGGCCATTAGCTTTGAAACGGCCCATCTTGGGAAAATTTTGTTCAGAAGGAGGCAGTATGATCAAAAGACAGCCTGAACCTGGGTGCTGGCCACAGCCAGCCAGTCCGTGGAGTTTAGGTGGATCACCTTTGGCTTTCTTTACCCACAGTTGGTTTTCTCTTCTGGCCCCCCCAGGCTTCTGAGGTGGTTTAGAGAAAACCACCAAATATAGGATCAGATCTTTGCAAAAGTATGGTTCAGAACGAGATCAAGTCCTTGTTGCTGCTAGAATTCTTTCTTTTTTTGTCTCTTGCTGACTTTCCTCTCTTTCAAATGTCTGTGCTCCTCAAGGCTCCAGACACCTTCTGCCCCATTTAGGATCCCTCAGCTTCCCTTCATCTCTTTGAGAAGGGCTCCTCTTTGAAGAGTCTCTCTTCCTTTCCAAGGTCCAGTTCTCCTCTTTTTGTGCTTGTGTTTCCAGCAACTCTGGAACCTCTTTCAAATCTTTCCATCTTTCTCCCCACTGCCTCCTGTTCCTCTGTCAGCAAATGCGGTCAGATCTTTCCTCTTCTAAATAATCTAAGGAATAATTGTAAAGAATCTATTGTTGCTGCCTCCTGGTATCACATAGAATAACCAGCTCACTTAAGAGTGTCCTTGAATAGTAGAAGGGGCATAAGTAATTTAACTAGTGGTACTACTTATTGAAAAGAATTTGTGATAAGTATCCATGCAAAGTATTTATGTGCTTATTTAAAATATAGAAACTAGACACCATGTCTCCTGTAACAGAAACCTTAAACTGAACATGGTAGAAGAGAGCAGTTCTTGCTCCACACATTTAATGCTCCCGCTATGAACAGGAGTCATGAAAGTTACTCCATTAGGTTCGATGACTGAAAAATAATGATGCCTCTATTTGTATGAGGCACTGAGATTATTTAAAATATAGAAACTAGACACCATGTTCTCCTGTAACAAAACCTTAAACTGAACATGGTAGAAGAGAGCAGTTCTTGCTCCACACATTTAATGCTCCCGCTATGAACAGGAGTCATGAAAGTTACTCCATTAGGTTCGATGACTGAAAAATAATGATGCCTCTATTTGTATGAGGCACTGAGATTATTTGGAAAGTTTGCCTATAAACTCATTCTTTCCATTTGAAAAAAAAAATCTTTTTGTCCTTGATTTTATTATTTCTTTTTATGCTGGGCATTTTACATTGAGCTACCTTTCCTTTTTTGTGCTGGAATATCTCATAGACTATTTTCTCACATTACCCCTAAGGTCAGGTAAAGCTGACGGATAAAATGGAATGTCCTTGTCTTTGTTTTTCTGCCTCATGCTTTTTAACTATGCCTTAGCTTAACACTAATTAGTTCCTTTTTTTCTCATCCCAAATTCCTGGTAACTATTTAATCATTTATTTGTACCTTTTCTTTTACAGAGGATGTAAGACACAAAATTTTCTTTTCTCCTTGTCCCTTTACAAGCTCTTGGGCCTCTTCTGTCACTCTTCTTTTTTTTTTTTTTAATTTTAATTTTTTTATTATTCATATGTGCATACAATGCTTGGGTCATCTGTCACTCTTCTTTATCTGAAGAAGAATAGCATTTCTGTTGTAAAAATTATTTCTTTTAAGATCCATCTCAAGTACCATCTCCATTTGTTTTTTTAAATTTTTTTTTGTTTATTTATTTGTTTATTTTTATTATTTATTTTTGCCATACTGGGGTTTGAACCCAGGACCTACATCTTGAGCTATCCCACCAGCCCTTTACTTTGTGAAGGGTTTTTTCTAGATAAGGCAAACTATTTGCCCAGGCTGCCTTAGAACAACAATCCTCCTGATCTCTGCCTCTGAGTAGCTAGGATTATAGACATGAGTCACTGGCACCTGGCTCCATCCTTTTAAATATCTACAGCTCTTTGTGCTTCTTGGGTTTTATTCTAGTTTTGATTTCTCGAGGTCTAAGCTACACCTCTCTTGCCCCTAGGATCTCTCTTATATTGAGTAAATGTTTTTGAATTGAATCAAGTAAAAGGCATTGAATCCTGTTTCCTCCTAAATCTGACTCATTGATTTTATACTGATTTTAGAATTCAGTCCAGTTCATATTTGAAGTTGAAAACACCTAGTAAAAGCCAAACTATGAAAAGCTACCACAGGTAGCATAATTATCATACCTATCTAATTTTTTCAGAATAGAAAGTTAGGAACTTCAGACAACAGATTCTGTTTTAAATGTGGAATTCTCATAGTTCTTTTTATTTTCAATAAACTAAATGTTGGTGAAGAATTAGTCACAATATCCAGGATTGATTTTCTAGGAAGGCAGAAGCATGAAAAAAATCCAGATGATATATAAGTGACTGAAATGAAATTTGTTTGAAATATTGTTGATATAATTGTGATATAATTAGTGATAGAACATAACTCAGTCTAAAGGCCAAATCGGGAAAACTTAATTATAATGATGCAATTATAGCTTAAAATGTGGTTGTGGTTTGGTTTTGAACAAAGTAATTGTAAGCTACCTATTACACATAATCTTATTTTTTCAGTTACTCATTAAGCTAAGTTTGATGGAACAACTGCTACATGCTCAGCCCTCCCACCCTCCACAGCCCCCAATTGTCTTTTAAGTATGTGGCAAGGACAGACATAATTATTTCAAAATGCTTTAGATGCTCAGAAAAGATAAATTTGAACTGACTAACTGTACAATTGCTCAGCAGAAGGGCAAGGAAAGGATAGTTCAGGCCTGTACATGGGTGTAGAGATTTGAAATTACAAGGTTTAGCTAGTGGTGCTTTAGTGGTTTGGCTATTGGTCCTGGGTAGAGGGGCTGAGGCAGTACTGTGTAGGTAACAGTAACAGTACAACTTGCTTTCAGAATACTTGAAATACTATGCTCAGGAGTTGGAATTTATCCTGTAGGATATGAGTTAGCAAAATATCATGTGATTATATTGTATGTTTGGTAGATCACTGTGGCATTACCTTGAGGTGGATGGAGAAGAGACCAGAGGCCAAGAATGCTTAGGAAGCTGTTGCAATAGTGTAAAGCTACAACAGTGCCATGAAGTGAAAGGCACTGTGATGGCTGTGATGGCTGCATTTGATTATAGTTAAACTTTTCTGTAATTAGACCAGTTTTGAACATAAACATTTGCTGCACATTATAACATCCTATTCTTTTTATGTAAGTAGAGAGTTTTTATGGTAGATACTGATAAGTTTGTACTCTGTAATAGGTTAATGGAACACATTTCATTAAAAACGTTTTATTAATATGTGATAGTTATACAGGTGGTTTCATTGGGACATTTGCATATATACATATGTTATACCCTAATTTGGTTTATCCCCTCCATTTTTCTCCTTCCTACTCCATTCCTCTTCTTAAAGTGACTTCAACAGGTTTCAATGCCCATTTCATTTCTAATAGGTTAAGTAAACCTGTTTCTAAAACTCAACTTTGTTACATGTTTCTTTTTCAAGATTAATTTAGCTGTGATTTATATACAGTAAGATTCACCTTTTATTAGTGTATTTCTGCAAGTTTGACATGCATATATGCTGTACAGTCATATAACTACCACAATTATCAAGATATAGGACAGTTCACCACCCACTCCAAATTTCCTTGTGTACCTCTCTAGTCACCCCTTCTCCTTGCTGTCTTGACCCTGCCAATCAGTGATCTGTTTTCTGCCTCTGTAGTTTTTTTTTCCCTTTACATGAATGTCATGTGAATGAAATAAAAAAGCATTTGAGCCTATCTTCTTTCACTTAGCATAATGCATTTAAGATTCTGCCACTTTATCAATAATTTGTACCTTTAAAAATTAAAAAAAATTTTTTGAGCTGGGTGCTGGTGGCTCAACACCTTTATCCCAGCTACTTAAGAGCCAGAGATCAGAAGGATTGTGGTTCAAAGCCAGTCTGGGCAAATAGTTCGAGAGACCCTATCTCAAGAGAACCCATCACAAAAACGGCTGGTGGAGAGTTTCAAGCTGAAGGCCCCGAGTTCAAACCCCAGTACCACAAAATTAAAAAAAAAATATTTGAGACAGGGTCTCATATGTAGCCCATGCTGGCCTGGATATTGCTATGTATCACAGGCTGGTCTCAAACTTGCAATCCTCCTGCCTCAGCCTTCTGAGTGCTGGATACAGATGTTGCCACCACACCCTGCTAATTGTTCCTTTTTATTAATCAGTATTATTCCATCATATGAACTTAACCATATTTTGGTTATCCATTCCTTGGCTGAGCATATCTGGATTATGTCAATTTTTTTAATTGAATCTTTTTTTTTTTTACAGTCCTAGAGTTTTGGACTTATGGCCTCCCACCAATTTTTTAAAATAGGGAATTAAGTAAGCTTGAAAGTTTAACTCAACAGTTGCTATTTGAAAGCCCTAAGTAATGTAAGAAGTTAAAAGTTAGAAGTAAAACTTGTTTTTATGTAATGATTGCAACTGTATGCATACCCTTAAACAAGGACTTGAAGAAGCAATATAGGAAAGTAAATGCAGAAAACTTGTTGGAATGATGACATTATAAGTAATTAGATTTTTCATTTTCTGAATTTCCATTTTACTGGAAATAGAACCTCTTCTTGTGATTTGATTTCAAACCTACAGAGGAAAATTGCAAGAATAATATAAAGAACTCACATAAACCTTGTACCTAGATTTACCAGGCATTGACATTTGCCCTGTGCTTTATCACTTTTCCTCTACATGTATTTGCATCTGTATGCATATTTTTTCTTGACTATTTGAAAGAAAGTTGGAGATATTATGCTCAGTTATTCTTAAATATTTTTTGTGAGCATTTCTAAGAATAGGGCTATTCTCTTTAAAACCAAGTAGTCA